ATTCTACGCGGACGTAGTCGCATGTACAGTTAGTACCTAATAAAAAAAATAGACGTTTAACCAACGTAACGTTGAGCAACCAAAATTTGCCAAATATTTGATTAAACGAACGAAACAATTTGAGGTTTCGTGATATTGCAACTTCCTGTTTCACCAACTGGACTCGTTTGTCACCAATCCGAGTGAACTGTAACCTCAAACAGTAAGTTTGTAAAGGAAGTGTCGGTCTGTAACAATGAAACTGACGAAATGGGGCGCTTTCGCCGAAATTGACAAAGATTGTCTAAAGCTTCCGCTAAATATATTCATTATGGAATGTTTTAATTCAATTCTTTAACAATATTTATATATATTTTTTTTATTTCACATATTTTATACAAATAATTTATGAAGTATCTGACGTAACATAGAGATGACTGCGAACAGAGATGAATGGAAGAGAAAAACATATTACGTCGATCCCAAATAAATGGGGTAAGTTAATTTCTTTATAACAATATTTATATATATTTTTTATTTCACATATTTTATACAAATAATTTATGAAGTATCTGACGTAACATAGAGATGACTGCGAACAGAGATGAATGGAAGAGAAAAACATTACGTCGACCCCAAATAAATGGGATAGAGGAAGAAGCAGATGATGATGTGTGTGACATCTGAGGAAGGTATAAATTATACCTGTTTTCCAGAAGTGAGTGTCCTATTCCATATAGTGGTGCACGTTTAATTTTACAAGCATGTCACAAAATCAATAGTATTTAATTCTAATGGATGATAATGAAATGGTGTCCCCGCCTGAGATAATGGGACACGCTGCCGGGGCACCAGTGGAGGATGATAGGATGAATTTGTCAGGTCTGTTAGCCCGTCGTGACAAATTCACCAAGAATTTATCACGATGGTTTCCAGGGGAACCGCGTGGAGGTCAACCTGACATGGTACATTGCTAGCAAAGGGGGATTATAAGATAATAAAAATAACATTTCTAAAATAAGAGTAGTCTAGGATAGTCCTTAATAATAATATTATAATAATATTATAATATATACTATTTGCTAGTGAAAGTCCCGTCAAAATCAATACAGCCTCTCTGAAATGGCAAGAACAAACAGACAGACAAAAATTTCTCAAACTACTTTCTAATGTATATACTTTCATATGCATTTAGTCAAAAGCTGTTAATTTCAAATAATAAACAGAAACCTTGACTTTATTTATTTGTATTGATTTTATTTTTATCGTAGTAATATAGTAATACATAAGTTTTGTAGACTAAATATAATACATAATGTAGTATTTGTTGAGTGTTGAATATATAGAGTATGCTTGGTATAGTTACGTTACGTTGAGTGTATGGGGCGCTTGACCGAGCCGCAGTCAGTATTGTCTAGGGCTGACCCTGACTCTCTCGCTAACAATTAATATAATAATAATAATCCTGGTCACAACGTTATCTAGTCCCCAGCTGAGCAAAGCTTATGTTATGGGTACTAGACAACTGATATCAATATTCAGATATTATGTTTTATAAATACATACATAATATACATAGAGAATACCCAGACGGATACAAGCAATCATACTTATGTATACAATTTTTGTGCCGTGCGAGGAATCGAACCCGCGACCATCGGAAGTACCTAAACCGCTAGATTATCGAGGCTGTCAAATTAGCATAGTCTATGTTGAATGGTAGTTACAAATGCAGTCCGCTAGAGTTTAATATGTAAAGTATGTACGGTATAGTTACGTTACGTTGAGTGTATGGGGCGCTTGACCGAGTCGCAGTCAGTATTGTCTAGGGCTGACCCTGACTCTCTCGCTAACAATTAATATAATAATAATAATCCTCATAAGCTTTGCTCAGCTGGGGACTAGATAACGTTGTGACCAGGATTATTATTATAATATAGTAACTATATATAGTAACTATACAGTACATACTTTACATATTCAACTTGAATATGTAAAGTATGTACGGTATAGTTACGTTACGTTGAGTGTATGAGGCGCTTGACCGAGCCGCAGTCAGTATTGCCTAGGGCTGACCCTGACTCTCTCGCTAACAATTAATATAATAATAATAATCCTCGTCACAACGTTATCCAGTTCCTAGCTGAGCAGAGCTTATGTTATGGGTTCTAGACAACTGATATAAATACTTAGATTTTTTGTAAATACCATACATCTATACATATAAATAAAATTGGAGTGTCCGTTTGTAATATTGAACTAACTGTTTTTTACTACATGCATATGAATTTAAACACGGTACATACACCAAAATAACATTTTTTACAATTTTTGTCCGTGTGTTTGTTCCGGCTAATCTCTGAAATGGCTGGACCGATTTTGATGGGGCCTTTTTTGGCAGGTAGCTGATGTAATGAGTAACATAGGCTACTTTTATTATTAAAAAAAATTGAATTTTGAAATGGGAATTTGTAATATTTAAAGCTAGAACGGCGAAACTTTTATCTTTGGCGTTTAATAATTAAAAATGCCATAAAGAGTCACTGTTCCACGCGGACGAAGTCGCGGTCACAGCTAGTTTTGAATAAACACGTCTGTTTTGAAATATGTTAGTAATATTTGGCGACCCTACCAACAACGGCGCTCGGATCGTGTGTGCTATGTGCAATAACTGGCACGCAATCCCAAACATTTCCAATTACACTGCTCTATTATTCGATTAAACACAATTAATATATCCAATTCAGTTTCCCGTTAATTGTCTAATAGTTAGAACATGAGATAAATCACAGCAAGAAGTGCTATTATCGGCAGTTGTTTTCATTTTTTGTTAATAATAATATTTTCTTAAATTGCTTTTTATGTTTTCCTTCTTTATCTATATACATAGAATAAGTTATTTCATTAATAAATCATTACATAGTATAAAACAAAGTCGCTGTCGCTGTCTGTCCGTCCCTATGTATGCTTCAATCTTTAAAACTAAGCAACGAATTTTGAAGCAGTTTTTTTTTAATAGATAGAGTGATTCTAGAGGTAGTTATATATATTTGACGGCCTCGGTGGTCTAGCGGTTTAGCACACCGCCTTACTACCGATGGTCGCGGGTTCGATTCCTCGCACGGCACAAACATTTGTATTCATGAGTATGATTGTTTGTATCGGTCTGGGTGTTTTCTATGTATAATATGTATGTATTTACGAAAAAAAAAAATCTATGTATTTGTATAAGTTGTCTAGTACGCATAACACAAGCTTTAGCTAGCTTAACTTGGGTCTAGATGGTTCTGTGTGAATTGTCCTGAGGTTATTATTATTATTATTATTATATATGTACGGGTGTATATACATATACACCCGTACGAAGCCGGGGCGAGTAGCTAGTATAAATAAAATAAAAATTACTAAGACGTAATACAACTAGAATTTGAGGACGAAATGGGTTTGCTAGAAATTTGAACTGACGACCCTATTGCGTATTAGGTTGGTTGGTTTAATGGTGCGGGCACCATACCTACCGACACTGGTAACATGCCTGCGCTAACAATATATATATGGAATGAATGTTTATTTACAAAATAAATATACGCAAGCGGGGTACCAGTGGAGAATGATAAGATGAACAAGAGATCAGTTCAGTTGACTAATCATGATATATTCACCAAGAATTTATCATAAAGATTTCCAGGGAGAACTGCGTGGAGGTCAATCTGACATGGTATATTTGAACTTTATGCATGCAAAGTCTCAGCCCGATCGGTTTAAAATTGACAAAGTTTCATACAAACTTTCATCCCTTATTTTATTCTCTTGCGGGTAGAATTAATCAAAATCCTTTCTTAGCGGATGCCTACGTCATAACATCTACCTGCATGCTAAATTTCAGCCCGATACGTCTGTGGTTTGGGCTGCGCGTTAATAGATTACTATATCAGTCAGTCAGTCACCTTTGAATTATGTATATATACTAGCTTTTGCCCGCGGCTTCGCTCGCATTAATATATCCCATTATGGGTGGAATTTATCAAAATCCTTTCTTAGGGGATGCCTACGTCATAGTAGCTTTATGCATGCAAAGTCTGAGCCCGATCGGTTTAAAATTGACAAAGTTTCAAACAAACTTTCATCCCCTATTTTATCCCCTTGGAGATAGAATTAATCAAAATCCTTTCTTAGCGGATGCCTACGACATAACATCTACCTGCATGCCAAATTTGAGCCCGATGCGTGCAGTGGTTTGGGCTGTGAGTTGATAGATCACTATGTCAGTCAGTCAGTCACCTTTGAGTTATATATATTTAGATAAACATAAGAAAAAACCTTACTAAGACGTAAGACGTAGAATTTGGGGGCGAAAAGGAGATTGGAGGAGTAATTTGGACTGATGAACCATTGCTACCAATGTACCAGATGTCGAGTTGGTTGATTCAATGGTGCCCCAGCCTGCGCTAACATATACTCTGGCGGAGCACCAGTGAAGGATGATACGATGAACTAGAGATCAGGTCAGTTAGCTCATCGTGATATATTCACTAAGAATTTATCATAAAGGTTTCCAGGGAGAACTGCGTGGAGGTCAACCTGGCATGGTATATTGCTAGCCATGGGGTCAATAGTCCACATTACTAATCCGTATGGACTATTGACTTTGTCCCCCAAAGTCAGTAGTCCATACGGACTATTGCAATTTTGTGGCTTAATCATATAGTAACTCGACTTACTCCACAGATCGTAAGTCGTAATTTGACCTACAGTAATATTTTTTCAGACTACTCTAATGCTGTTAACCGCAACTGGCCTTTACAGCTTCACCGGACGAGTGCAGATTGTACTTCAAACCCGCGGAAGGACTTATAGCCAACTCCCGCTTGACGGATATGACTTTAGTCTTTCGAACCGATAGGGGTTCGACTTAGGCCGTATTAATTTCGATCCCCGTTTGAATTGAACAGGCAATCAATCGAAGGGGGACTATAGCAAGAACTTTGAGTCAATTTATACTAGTAAGTTGAGTGATGTACCTTGCGGCGCGCCGTATGGCAGGCAGGCCAGCAGCGCGGCCAGCGCAGCCAGCGCGGGCGGCGGCGCGCGGCCCATTCTGCCGCTACCGGTTCGGATGCATCACCCGCCGCAGTTGCACCCGCGCACACTCTCGTGTGCACCACCAAACACTCTCGCGCCTGCAACACATTCTATATTTAAAAATAAATTCAAAGTCCTTGCATCCGCGCACACCCTCGTGTGCACCACACAACACTCTCGGACCTGCAACGCATTCTATATTTAAAAATAAATTCAAAGTCCTTGCATCCACGCACACTCTCGTGTGCACCACACAACACTCTCGGACCTGCAACGCATTCTATATTCAAAAATAGATTTAAGGTGTCCAAATTTTTGTGTCTAATAGATGATAATCATTTTTAAGTTATTCCCTCCAAAAAGGATTGATACAATTTACAATGTAATAGAGAAATTAATGTCAATATAATACAAAATACCAATTCTAGCTTTGTATGTAGACATTGGCTTAAAAGGAAAAGGACAAACTGAAAAGTTTGAAACTTAGCTATAAAAATAAAAAAGAATTAAAGAAGTACCTTCTCTTTTACCCTTCAAAGTATTAAAGGGTAAAAGAAAAGAGACAGATCAGTAATATTAGAGAAAATAGGTGGGGAAAAATGATAAGTCGCTTGATGCAACATGAGGAATTTTTGAATGAAATGCTACGTTTACATTCAGCCGTTTCCCCTGCCACTCGCGCTGTCGGAAATATTGCCGGGCGACAACTGAGCGAGAGGGCTGAATCTAAAAACACGCTGCCACTCGCGCTGCCATTCCTTTGACTCGCGCACGAAAAATCGACAATCGAGGGAGCGCCGGACAGCGCGAGTGGCAGCGCCAATGGCATGGGAAGTGTTTCCACTCGTGTTTACACTCTCGTGCTGTTCACTTCGCTGCCCACTCGGGCTGAGTGTAAATTGGGCAAAAAATATTAGGAATAAGAAGAAGAGAAGGGAAAGTCCAGGACACAGCTATGTCAAGCAGATCAAAGAAAGAGTCGTGTCGTATCAAAAATTAGAGATTGATTGAAAATCGTGGGAAATGGAAAAAGGTTTTAAATTAAGATCTCTTAAATTATGAATGAATGAATATTGAGTAGTGTCAGCTAGGAACAGTATTAATACTCGTTTGGTTTATACTTAGGTTTATAAAAATGTATGATTTACAATGCAGTATACAATCAAACAATGTCTGTAGAAGAAGTGTATTATAGTAGTCCAATTTATTTTCCCGCGCAAACGAAAAGCGCCACAGATTCAAAATATTATTCGGAACGCAATTACAATAGCTTGATGAGCGCGTTATAGCTGTATAAGCTGTTAATACTAAGGATCAGTATAAATAAGTTGTATTTTATAGAGCGCTATCCCCCTCCGATCCATACCCCGTCCAATTAAACGGGGATCGATATTACGACGGCCTGAGCCGAGGTTCGAACCCCTAGTGGTGCCCTCGGACTAAAGTCCTATCCGTTAGGCGGGAGTTGGCCTTCAGCCGCTCCATAAGTCCTTCCGCGGGTTTGGAGTGCCATCTGCACTCGTTCCCTATCACCCGGTGAAGCTGTAATGGCCAGCTGAGGCCAACAGCATTAGATTAGTCCGAAAAAGAAAAAAAAGAGCGCTATGCAATAAAAAGTAAATATATAATAATATAAAATACAGTCGAGAGAAATGAGAGCTATATAATAAGTATCTTATTAACTTGAGTAAATTTCTACCGAGATAGACATCAAATTATTTTACGAGACAACTGGTGCGGTGTCCTCGCGTGATGAGACACTTTTCTTCAGAGAAAACCAGGTGAGATGCGTGTAAGATAGATAAGATGCATATAAACGCATGTGTATTTATATATATCCCAATTAATTTACTGTTAACTACAATAACACACGTATTTATCTACAGCATGAATGTGTGAAAGTGACATTTCAATATAGAAATACTACATTAAAAAAAGAGAGGTTTTAGACTAGTTATTCTCTACTTTATGGTTGCGATTTATAATCTGGCTTAGACCAAATCTCTTATGTATCAATTAACATTTCTAACTGACTGTCTGTAGATAAAATTTCTATAACAATCTAAACATTATCTGAGAGATACTTTTTGGGATCAGTCTTGAAGATACATTTATATATGTACTAGCTGTGCCCGGTTTCATTCGCGTGAAATTCATAGCCTGTTTGTTATTCTGATGTATAAACTATATCCCTGTAAAGTCAACAAAATCAGTATCGTCTACTTTTTGGGATCAATCTTGAAGATACGTTTACATATGTACTAGCTGTGGCCGCGATTTCGTCCGCGTGAAATTTATAACCTGTGTGTTATTCTGATGCGTAAGCTATAAAGTAAAAATCTATAAAGTTTCATCAAAATCAACAATGTCGTGAAAGAGTAACAAACATACATCCATACTCACAAACTTTCGCATTTATAATATTAATAATACTGTACATACATAAAAAAAAAAGTTGTAATTATTTTCTACTGATTTGTTATATCCATACAATTTACCACTATCAATCTTAAATAATAAATTTTGTTACATTTGAAGTTCTTGTCTATACAGCCAACGAGTGTTTTTTTAATAGATAGAATTTTTACTCTGCTATTCCAATGTTTTAAGAAAACTGCTACATATACGAGTTGTGGGTGAGTTTTAGTAATGGTTACACGTCTATTGAATAAAATTAAGAAAGATAACATTCTAAATTGAGATATTGTACGAAGATGGAGACCTGGGAGGGTTAGAAAGCGGAAAAAAGAGCATCCAAATCGCAACGCTACGGCCGCCCGCCGGCTGATTTCGCTTTCTTTCGCTTGTACATTTGCATGTATTGTTTCCTGTACTGTAATATGTGATGTATGATTATGTCCTCTTAGTTTTGTAACAAATTAGCACATTGAATACAATTGAATCCATGTCTAATACAGTTACGGAAATGTAGTAAGTTTTTTACTCCACAAGTCTACCAGAATGGCAGACGGCTACAATGCGTAGTTACAAAATGCACTGTTTGAAATCATAGTTGACGACCTCGGTGGTCTAGCGGTCTAGTCTACCGCTTTACGACCGATGGTCGCGGGTTAGATTCCTCGCACGGCACAAACATTTGTATTCATGAGTATGATTGTTTGTATCGGTCTGGGTATTTTCTATGTATAATATGTATGTATTTACGAAAAAAATATATATCTATGTATTTGTATCAGTTGTCTAGGATCCATAACACAAGCTTTAGCTAGCTTAACTTGGGTCTGGATGGCGCTGTGTGAATTGTCCTGAGATTATTATTATTATTATTATTATTATAGTCAAGCAAGATCTTCGAAAGAAGTATAATAAATGAAAACAAGATGTAATCATGAATATTGTGATATGATAAATACGACTCGGTAAAAATGTTGTGGAGTTTTTAAAAGTGGCTGTCAGAAATAACGTACGCTTCTTTAACTAAAATTATATATTTTTTATTATTGGGGAGTTTGGACTATTGTCAGGTGCTACGACCTGTAACACTGCGACCTGTATAGATCTATTGTGCTCGCCCTTATTCAAAGTTCGCTACCTAGACCCGTACGGGACAGGAATTGAAGGATATTCTTAGGTGCGATGGTTTTTATCTCTTCAAGACATAGTATATACTTTCCAAAGGAGATGATTCGTTTATGCATGCATACTGATACTCGTATCACAGATAACATAATATTGCATACTAATATTTTGTAATTTTATGTTATCTGTGCGAGTATTAACATCGCGTACAGCCACGACTTTTTAGGCTGTTGATTAAATATAAAGGTACATTCAGTAGACAAATGCCGAGTTGTCGTACGGCGGATTACATCTGCCTCATACTCCATCATATAATGACCACGACCATTTTGTAAAGAACGTATCGAATGAGGAGTTCTGACTTTATTCCTCGGGTATATGGTTACTTTCTATGTATACTATGTATGTATTTATTTAAAAAAAAAAGTTATTTGTATCCGTTGTTATTTGGAGTTAGATGGCAATGTGTGATTTGTCCTGGGTTATTATTATTTTAAACAGGGACTGTAAACTATTTCACAAGAACTCTGATTTTGTTAAACCAATTTGTATCCTCAATTGATTTAATTTGTACATAAGTTTAAACCTACGTGCCAAGCCATTAGAAAGATAAAAAATGAAAAAGAGGATCCCGCCAAAATAATAAAATCATAATGTATTTAAAACATTCGAAATTCGAACGTTATTAATAAGTAATCAGCCAGCCAGCAAATATTGAGCAAGTGATCACTATGTTTCCTGCACTCTTAAAAATGTTTTACAGAAGAAAAATTGAAATGAAATTATGACATACAAAAAAAATCAATTAAATTCATGTGGCAATAAACTGAATAATGTCACGGTATCGTATAACCGTATTCAAGATTATCGTTTTGTGCTCTAAATGAATGATAACGCCTATTGTAGAGAGGGGTGGCCGTGAGAATGGAAGTGGTACAGCAGGGCATTGGGTCTTTGTTAATATTACATTGTAACTGTTGATATTTTGTTTGATTAAAAGTTTCGGTTCATCGTGGATAGAATATTATTGAATTAATAAAAATAAGCAATTCAATTCTCCCAAATTTGAATTTAAATGAATCTGTATTATTGTAAACATGTACAACATTTATTTGAAAAGAATACGAGCTGATATTCTTGTCAGTTCTTCTCATCTCGAAATCATTCTGAACTGACGGTACATTTGATATATCATAAGAGTATGTAATAGACCTACATGAATAAAGATATTTTGGATTTTATACTCCAAGGTATGTTCTGCAGGGCTACCTGAGTGCTATGAGGAGGTGTCGCGAGTCGTGACAGAGTCCCGCACTGGCGCCTCCGCAGCCGTTGTCGGAACAACTCACTCGGAACCACTGTTACGTTCCACGTAACGTTACACACCTTACTGTTCTATTACAGTATGTATACCTACTGTCATAATGACGAAGAGTTGCAGCCGTATTATGACGAAATTATAAGTAAATAATACA